TATCTATCTATCTATCTATCTATCTATCTATCTATCTATCTATCTATCTATCTATCTATCTATCTATCTATCTATCTATCTCTGACAGACTGTATTGCCTTCAAAACATTCAAAATGTAAGCTTTTAAAACTACTTTAAACTTCAAACTATTTCAGACTGAAAACCATTAAACTTAAAACTTTTCAAACTTTCTGGTCCGGCTTTCTCAAGCCAACTTAAAGATTGTCTTGACATATAGATATATTTGAGTTATATTCGATATTATACTAATTTACAATTGTATCTGTTTCATCTCATTAGAAACCTCAAGATCAAAATGAGGACAGTCTCTTGGACATCTTCAATTTTTGGGTGAAGTATGTACAAGCTGTGTCTTAGATTTGCTTGTGTGGCAACTGTAGGTCACTCTTGGTCCGGTAGTACTTGTAGTTTGTCGTCACTTCTACGGTTGGCTTGTAATTTCTATTATTTGCCCGCTCAAGGTCCCCAGAAACCAAAAAGCGTAAAGCAGTCACCAGTGGCCCTTTGGCGGTCAACGGCCCATCGGCCAAGAAAGCAAAGAAAGATGCGGTGAGTTCAAGTAGTGAGGACTCCAGCGGTGAAGAGGAAGCTGCAGCACCTGCCAAGAAAGTCGTACAAGGTACATAGCTGTTTTTTGTGCAGCAAGGTTGCAGTTAATTGATTAAAAATACAATAAAATCAGTAATATTGCGTTGTATTTTTACAGGTTAACATTTCTATTTGAATATATTTTAAAGTGTAGTTTATTCATGTGATTCAAAGCTGAATTTTCAGCATCATTACTCCAGTCTTCAGTGTCACACGATCCTTCAGAAATCATGCTGATGTGGTGTTCAAGAAACATTTCTTAATATCAATGTTGAAAATGTTCTTTAACACATCTTTCCTGAAAAGTATTAATTTCTAAAAAAAAATAAAAAATCTTACTGACAGTAGTGTTTCAACACTGCATTAAGTATTTAACTAAATGTTATGCATTTAACAGCGAAAGCTCCTGTTTCGAAGAAGCCAGCAGCTGTAGCTGCTAAACAGAGCAGCAGCTCTGAAGACTCCAGCGACTCGGAGGATGAAGCTCAGGCTAAAACAGCAGCAAAGGTCAGGAAGCTGCATGCTGTTTACGTGAGTGTGTGTGTGGTATGTCTGTGCTAGGATGCCTCTTCCTGAATCTGGATCTTGTTAATTTGGTGCACAGAAGCCTGCAGCTGTGAAACCTGCAGCAGCAGCCAGGAAGAAAGACACCAGTTCCAGCAGCGAGGAGTCCGACTCTGACGAGGAGCCGGCCAGCTAGAGGTCTAGAGGTGAGCTGAAGCATGAGTTCTTATTCTCAAGCACAGCGTCTGTGTAGTACTTCAAGTGTAAGTGAAGTTACATGGTTACATGTTCAAAGCGGAGATCTGTGGTCTCCAGGAGCAAAGGCCAAGCCTGTGGCAGGGACCCCCAAACCGGCGTCCACTCCAGTGTCTGCAGCTCAGAAGAAACAGGACAGTAGCAGCAGTGAGGACAGCTCTAGTGAATCTGAGGATGAGGCTCCAGTTAAGGTACATTAAGTCCAACATAATCATGCTTCAGAAATCTAGTTTTTTTTCTCACAAATTCTTTGTTTTCAGTTTTTATGTTACTGTTTTCTGTTTTATTATTTTTAAATTACATTTTAATATGCAAAAAGGATGTCTAATCAATTGATTTTTTTCTGAAATCTTTCTGAAATTCTGAAAATTGTAACCATAATAGAGCTTATGATTTTTTTTTTTCAGAATACAAAATAAATCAATTAATTTGTTTACGTTCTCACAGACAGCAGTAAAAGCACCAGTCCCAGTGAAGACCCCTCCAGCTAAGCCTGTGGCTCCTGCAGAGTCCAGCAGTGAGGAGTCATCCTCCGATGAGGAAGATGCCCCTCCTACTAAGAAACCCAAGACTGGTATTACTTTTTTTTTTTTTCCCCACATTGGTCGATCTTAAAGGTGCATTAAGAAATGGGGTTTGCTGGCATCTAGCAGTCTTCCCAAACAACCAGTACAGTGATCTTAAACTTTATACTGACAACTATCACCATGGGTGCAGCATTAAGCTTTATTCACCAGATCATGGGATCTCAACACAATTAAACTGTTTATTTTTATTTTTGTTTTTGGGTGGGGGGGGGAGTATAAGTTCTAAGCATGCCTCATTTGAACATGGTAAGAAATCTTATGAGGCAAAAGTGAGTTTCTGAAAAAGTGGAGACAAACATGAGATTGAAGATCATCTCTATTTACAGGACAATTCAATGCCGTCCCACCCCCGGGAACACTGACAGCTCGTGCTCCAGTCAAAGCTCCTGGTAAGCGTGTACATATAGTAATATAACACAGAATTCAATTTTACATATTTTCATCAATGAGCTATAAATTATAATTTCAATACAGAAAATTAATCCTATTTTATGACTAACTTTATTTGTATAAGGACCATACAAAAAGCATGATTTCAGCACAATACATAAATCAATAAACAATTATAAATGAATACATGAAAAATGTAAAAGTCTGAAATGAAGACGAACACCGTTTTTGTTTTTTTTTTTTTTCAGAATACAAAATAAATCAATTAATTTGTTTACGTTCTCACAGACAGCAGTAAAAGCACCAGTCCCAGTGAAGACCCCTCCAGCTAAGCCTGTGGCTCCTGCAGAGTCCAGCAGTGAGGAGTCATCCTCCGATGAGGAAGATGCCCCTCCTACTAAGAAACCCAAGACTGGTATTACTTTTTTTTTTTTTCCCCACATTGGTCGATCTTAAAGGTGCATTAAGAAATGGGGTTTGCTGGCATCTAGCAGTCTTCCCAAACAACCAGTACAGTGATCTTAAACTTTATACTGACAACTATCACCATGGGTGCAGCATTAAGCTTTATTCACCAGATCATGGGATCTCAACACAATTAAACTGTTTATTTTTATTTTTGTTTTTGGGTGGGGGGGGGAGTATAAGTTCTAAGCATGCCTCATTTGAACATGGTAAGAAATCTTATGAGGCAAAAGTGAGTTTCTGAAAAAGTGGAGACAAACATGAGATTGAAGATCATCTCTATTTACAGGACAATTCAATGCCGTCCCACCCCCGGGAACACTGACAGCTCGTGCTCCAGTCAAAGCTCCTGGTAAGCGTGTACATATAGTAATATAACACAGAATTCAATTTTACATATTTTCATCAATGAGCTATAAATTATAATTTCAATACAGAAAATTAATCCTATTTTATGACTAACTTTATTTGTATAAGGACCATACAAAAAGCATGATTTCAGCACAATACATAAATCAATAAACAATTATAAATGAATACATGAAAAATGTAAAAGTCTGAAATGAAGACGAACACCGTTTTTGTTTTATCCAGCTGTATTTACTCAGTGCAAATTGAGAAGGTGACCCACTACAAGTCATTTTTAGGAGGGTGTGATAATTTTTCCAACTTAGTGATACTATTTTTTTTTTTCTCTTTTTTTTTTTTCCCTGACATGTTGGTGTTCTATCTTTCACTTGGATGTTATAAGTTGCACTGAGTAAATACAGCTGGATAAAACAAAAATTTTGTCCATCTTCATTTCAGTCTGCAAAGCAACAAAATGTGATTATTTTAAAGGGGGTGATTGTTTTCTATACCCACTGTATATTGTACAAAGATTAAAGCACAGGTTAATTTGCATGTTTGGTCCCAAAATAAAGTTTTCCCTAAGAAAATCGTAACTTTAAAATTATCCCTTGACTGTAATTAACTTGAATCTTGTGGGGCTTTTTTCTTCTTCTTACATTTGCGATCGCACGCGCACTGTGTAAAGGGAGCACGTCTTACGATAAAAAATATTTGTCAATGAGCTCGGGATCTGTTGAGCAGTAATCCTCCAACATCTTGTCAGTTATCTCTCCTTACTTTTGACCCGTGATCCGTCAAATCTGGCTTCTGCAGCTTGTGTTGGATGCAGGGTGGTTGTTGTTTTTTTCCTCACAAAATTGGGCTGCTTTTAAATTGTTGCCATGGGTTGATTTTCCCCAGTGGGTTAAAAGTTTAAAATATTGCATACATTACATTTGGTTGAAATGCTTGTACTGAAACATTTTGCAGTCTACCTGTAATAAAACTGTGATAAATGTTTTGGGCCACACTAGTAGAAAGCATTTGAGCTGTTTATGATAAATGTGCATAACAGTGTCTGTAAAATATGTATTTTAGGGATGGGAATGACATATGTATATTTGGGACATGGTATTTGTGCTGTTTTTTTATTACTGGCATGGACTTGGGGATGCACAATTAAATTATGTAATAGTTGTGATCATTATTTTACCTTCCATGATCATTCAGACACGATCAGGTGCAGTACTGGCACTCTGTCAAGTCTGTATCAAATCAAGCACTCCATAATCACAGGTAAACTGTCTGATCAGTCATGTGTTTGTCATGAAGTGTACTAGGAAGTGACGTAAGCCGGTCGACAGCGACGTCATTTGTGCTCGGCGTTCAACAATGGAAACAAAGAAGAACAACGTTAACAACAGGAGGATGGAGGACGCTGTGATCGGAGCTGTGTTGTGCCTCGTGGGTTTCACAATAATGGACATGGAATGTCAACGTGTATATATTAGTTCTGGTACTATGAAAAGGTTCCCGCGGTGCGAAAGGCCCTCTAGTGAGTGGGGGGAATGCAGGGGGGTTTCTCCTAAAGTCCACGGTCATCTACACAGTTTTGAGCGTGTTGAGCTCCAGGTTGTTGAGACTGCACCAGACAGCCAGCTCTTTAACCTCCTGTCTGTAAGCAGACTCGTCACCGTCCTGAATGAGGCCGATGAGTGTGGTGTCGTCTGCAAACTTCAGGAGCTTGACAGAGGGGTCTTTAGAGGTGCAGTCGTTGGTGTACAGGGAGAAGAGCAGTGGGGAGAGTACGCAGCCCTGAGGAGCTCCAGTGCTGATCCTACAGGTGCTGGATGTGTATTTTTCCCCAGCCTCACTAGCTGCTGCCTGTCTGTCAGGAAGCTGTTGATCCACTGACAGACGGAGGTGGGCATGGAGAGCTGAGTTAGTTTGGGCAGGAGGAGGTTTGGGATGATGGTGTTAAAGGCCGAGCTGAAGTCCACGAACAGGATCCTCACATAAGTCCCTGGTCTGTCTAGATGTTGCAGAACATAATGCAGTCCCATGTTGACTGCATCGTCCACAGACCTGTTTGCTCTGTAGGCAAACTGAAGAGGATCCAGCAAGGGTCCAGTGATGTCCTTCAGGTGGGCCAGCACCAGTCTTTCAAAAGACTTCATGACCACAGACGTTAGAGCCACAGACCTGTACTCATTAAGTCCAGTAATTTGGGGTTTCTTTGGGATGGGGATGATGGTGGAGCGTTTGAAGCATGAAGGGACTTCGCACAGCTCCAGTGATCTGTTGAAGATCTGTGTGAAGATGGGGGCCAGCTGGTCAGCACAGGATTTCAGACAGACTGGTATAACACAATCTGGGCCTGTTGCTTTTTCCCTTTTCTGCTTCTGGAAGACCTAGCGCACCTCGTCTTCGCTGATCTGAATTGCAGGTGTGGGGGAGAGGGGGGTTGCTGGAGGTGTGAATGGTTGTGTGGAGAGGCGTGTGGGGTGTTTTTTCAAACCTGCAGTAGAACTCATTCAGATCGTCTGCCAGTTGTTGATTCTCCACCGTGCGGGGGGATGGTGTCTTGTAGTTGGTGATTTCTTTCAGACTTTTCCACACCTGATGCCGGTCACTGGAAGAGAATTGAATCCTTATTTTTTTCAGAATAAGTCCTCTTTGCCACTCTGGTCTCCTTTTCCAGTGTGTATTTAGCCTGTTTATATAAGACATTGTCCCCCTTCCTGTGAGCATCTTCTTTGTGTTCCACAAAACCGCTATGGTTTGCAGACAGTTATAGGAGTTGATGTGACAAATGCATCTTTTGAATATACTGCATGAACTCATTGCCCCGTTTTTTCCCCCCAATTGTGTCTCCCCCAGCAGCTCCAGTTAAGACTGTGACTCCCAAAGCTGCTGCTAAGAAGGACTCATCCAGTTCTGACAGCTCTGGTACTGCCCTCTCTGTAGATTATCACCACAATAGTAGACTTTTTTTTTTTTTGTTGCAGAAAGTGCTAATAAACTGCTTTCTTTTTCTCAGATTCAAGTTCAGAGGATAAAGCAAAGAAGCCAGCTGCTAAAACTGCTCCCGCTAATGCAGCCCCAGCTAAGAAAGCACCTAAAAAAGTCGCTCCTGCTCAGAAAAAGGACTCTTCAAGTTCCGATTCTTCAAGCTCAGAGGACGAAGCAGCAAAGCCTGCTGTCAAAGGCACACCTGCAAAAGCAGCATCTGCTAAATCTACACCTGCAAAAGCTGCATCTGCTAAATCTACACCTGCAAAAGCAGCATCTGCTAAATCTACACCTGCAAAAGTCACCCCGGCTGCAGACAAGGCTTCATCTTCTAGCTCTGAAGACTCGGACGATGAGGAGGAGGCCAAGAAACCAGCAGCTAAAGCTGTCCCAGTTAAACCTGCGCCAGCCAAGAAAATGCCAGCTAAAGTCAAGCCTGCTGCAAAAGAATCGTCATCATCTAGCTCTGAGTCTGAGGAAGACAAACCCGCCACAAAACCAACCCCAGCCAAGGCTGCTCCTGCTAAAGCTGCTCCTCCAAAGACGACCCCTGCTAAGAAAGATGATTCCTCAAGTTCAGGTCAGTTATCCATAAAGATACAAACATTTGCATTTAATCTTACTTGCCTTCGTGTCATTCACATGTATGATTGTCGAAAATGGAACACAAAGGGAGATGTTTTGAAGAATGTTCATGATGCTCTTTTTCCATTCAAAGAAAATGACAAGGCTATACCAATATTTCTGAAGCCTTAAGCTTTCTTTTTTTGGTCATTTACAATTAGAGGCGTTTAGAAAAAATCAAGTCATACAGGTCTGAAATGGTGTGGCAGTTAATGAAAAGATCTAGAGAAATAGTGTTACCATTTGAGTGCTGTTTATCAAGATTGTATTGGCTTCTAGATCTATTTTTATCTCTCACAGATTCAGACCGCTCTGAAGATGAGGCACCAGCTAAACCAGCAGCTAAGTCCAAGCCTTTGAGCACTCCTAAACCTGCAGCCAAGCCCGCCGAATCCAGCTCTGACTCGGACAGCTCTTCAGATGAAAAACCTCAAAAGAAACCTGCCGGCACACCGGTATCCAAACCTGCTACCCCAGCAAAACCTGCCCCAGCCAAACCAACTCCTGCAGCCAAACCAACCGGTAAACCAGCGGCAAGCAGCTCGGACTCGGACAGCTCTTCAGATGATGAGGAACCTCAAAAGAAAGCCGCCACCACACCGGTATCCAAACCTGGTACCCCAGCTAAACCTGCAGCTAAACCAGCTGATAGCAGTTCTGACTCTGAAACCGACAGCTCTGACTCTGAACATGAGACTCCGGCTGCTAAGAAAGCTAAACCAGCAGCAGCTACTGCTACTAAGAGCCCTGCTTCTGCCTCCAAACCACCTGCTCCAGCCAGTAAGAATGCAGCTGAGTCCAGCAGCAGTGATTCGGACAGTTCCAGTGAAGACGAGAAGAAAGTAAAGACTACTGTGACACCCAAAGCAGCAGCAGCTAAGCTAACCGTGACTCCAGTTAGCGCGAAGAAAGCCGAGAGCAGTAGCTCAGACTCTGAGACAGAGGCTAAGAAGACTCCCGCCAAGCCTGCAGTCACCAACAGAAAGGCTGCTACAACAAAAACACCCACCTCAGCAGCGAAGACGCCAGCTAAAAAGACAGCAAAGTCTTCATCCTCGAGTGACAGCAGTTCTGATGAAGAGGAGTCTCCTAAAACACCAGCTGTGAAGACACCACCTGCTACAAAAGCACAGGCTGCTAAGGCCAAAGCAGACAGCAGCTCGTCTGAGGACTCTTCGTCTGAAGAAGAAGAGACGACGGCGACACCCAAGACTCCTGTCACAAAAAATGGTATTCGCAGTACTCCATATGTCTGATAGCAAGGTGTTTTGCACGTTACTGGTTCCCAGGCCAGTTCTTATTACTGTCAACATATTATGTGAACACTGCCTGCGACTCCCCAAAAAACAGTAAAGCACCACGTAGCACTTTTTATGTTTGATAATGGGCAGCAGAAAAGGAGGATAAAGTCTTGAGACATGTATAGATCGTAATTCTGTTCACACAGAAGACGAAGGTCAGTGTTCTGAAAATGTGGGCGCACTAGCAGTCAAAGATGTAAATTTAGTTGCATAGAAAAACAATTGAGAAGTGCCACTGTTCTTTTATTGCCATGTTTTGAATGAACATAGGCAGCTGAACCCTCTAGATGCAACTTCCTGCTAACAAAAACATTCAAATGTAACCCATCATGTCACGTGTACCACTTATAGAACTTCCTTAATTTGACAGCCCTATAGCGCTCCTTATGTGGAGTTCATAGGACACGGAAATCATAAGTCAATTGAATGCAGTTAGTAAGGGCGTAGACATGTCTCTACCAATATCCAGCAAGTTCCAAATTGCCCCTAGCAATGATTTTGATCAAACCATTAAATGTTTGTTTTTGTAATTTCAGATGCATCTGAAATGTGTCAAACCAGTGATATTACCTAAGAAGTTAAACTAGAAAACTGCGTGCTTTCAAGGATGCACATTTAATACATGGGCAAAGTAAGAGCATAAGGCAGTCGCACACCGTACAAGAAGCGCAGCGCTGCGTCTAGGACGACTCTCATTGCACCCAGTTCATGACGGCAGTCCAGAACAGTTCATATACATGTTCACTTCAGGAATTAACAAAGTTGCTTCGATGAGTTTGAAGGTACAAAACAGAGCAAAGAGATAGCTAATAATGGCCATAGACTGCGCTGTCTATATAAAGCATACGGACAGAAAGAAACGTTGTGCTGAAAGATGCACAATACACAATCTTCCAGCCTAGGTTGAAGTCATTATTTTAATGAACAATAATTTGGGACAAATATAATGTGATTTTATGGAAAACTGTGAGTAGCACTCTGTGGTGCGGCAGGATTTTGAACAGCGTCCTGAGTCTTTAACATAATGTTGTTAAACTGAATGCACAAAGCAACCTGTTAGCTGAAATATCCTGCTGTTATGTCTCCACCAATGTCAAAAGCAAAGCTGTTGCATGTTGCTAAGCAAACAATGTGATATTTTAATAAGCATAAATATCGTGGTCAATTTTTATCAATACTACTATGGTATTGAATTAATTGTAGTCAGCATTCTTCTGGGTTTGTCTGCCGTCTTGGATAAAAATTGGTAGCACACCTATGATGATTTGAATTGCTGCTTATGTAGGATGCTCGGTTTGGAATTGAGCCATAAAAGCCACCCATCCAAACAAATGTCATATTGTGGCAGGTCAAGTCCACACACTCAGATCAGCTTGGAAAGAGGGCATTTGTTCCATCTGGTTAGGGCACAGTGTCATAATGGGCACAGTGTCATAGGGCAACTGAATCTATCTTCTAAACCAGGGGTGCCCAAACTCGGTCCTGGAGGGCCGGTGTCCTACAGAGTTTAGCCCCAACTTGCCTCAACACACCTGCTTGGAAGTTTCTAGTATGCCTAGTAAGAGCTTGATTAGCTGGTTCAGGTGTGTCTAATTGGGGTTGGAGCTAAACTCTTCAGGACACCGGCCCTCCAGGACCGAGTTTGGGCACCCCTGTTCTAAACCATCTAGCCTTAAGCACTATTGTAAACCACTCTCATATTGTTTTTCCGGTTCTCTCCTCTGATCACAGGCACAAAGAGCAAAAAAAAGGGCAAAGAGGAAGAAACGACAACACCCAAGAATGAAATCACCACATCCACACCTCAGACTTTTCCCAGAACCAAACAGAAGGTAAAGGGCTGTGATTGTGAGCATGTTTTGTGTTGATGTTGGCTTAATACGGTGCATATTCAAACACACCCAGGGGTCACATTGGGACTCTGGAGGTGGGCGATTGTAATTCCAGGCAAGGTATGACGTACAGATAACACTGAAGTCTGTATGCTAGTATTTATTGATCCAGTGATTCTTGCTTTGATGCAAGCGTCACTGGTGCGTCACATCCCTTGAGTGTTAAAAGGTTAGTTGCACCCGAAATGAAAATTGTCGTTTACTCGCCATGTTGTTCCAAACCCAAGACTTTTGTTCGTTCTCAAAACACAAGTGTTTAGACTTGGGTCTAGTTCAGGTACTTTTCTTTTTAATACATTTACAGACATTTCTAAAATTCTGTTTTCACTTTTTCATTATGGCGTACTGAGTGTAGAAAAATAAGAATTTAAACGACGTGAACGGGGGTCTGAATACTTTCTGAATGCACTGTATTACACACACGCACACACATTATGCATACAAGTTTATAGCTCTCAGCAGAGGCAAGAATTCCTCGTTCCACACTGGCAAAAAAAAAGGGCAAAGAGGAAGAAACGACAACACCCAAGAATGAAATCACCACATCCACACCTCAGACTTTTCCCAGAACCAAACAGAAGGTAAAGGGCTGTGATTGTGAGCATGTTTTGTGTTGATGTTGGCTTAATACGGTGCATATTCAAACACACCCAGGGGTCACATTGGGACTCTGGAGGTGGGCGATTGTAATTCCAGGCAAGGTATGACGTACAGATAACACTGAAGTCTGTATGCTAGTATTTATTGATCCAGTGATTCTTGCTTTGATGCAAGCGTCACTGGTGCGTCACATCCCTTGAGTGTTAAAAGGTTAGTTGCACCCGAAATGAAAATTGTCGTTTACTCGCCATGTTGTTCCAAACCCAAGACTTTTGTTCGTTCTCAAAACACAAGTGTTTAGACTTGGGTCTAGTTCAGGTACTTTTCTTTTTAATACATTTACAGACATTTCTAAAATTCTGTTTTCACTTTTTCATTATGGCGTACTGAGTGTAGAAAAATAAGAATTTAAACGACGTGAACGGGGGTCTGAATACTTTCTGAATGCACTGTATTACACAAACGCACACACATTATGCATACAAGTTTATAGCTCTCAGCAGAGGCAAGAATTCCTCGTTCCACACTGGCAAATCCACCTTATTTTTCAATGCGGAAGTAAGCCGTTTTCTGTGAATATGCAAGACTTCCGCTTCATTAGCCGCGGTAGGGAAATAACGAGAAGATTATATAATTGTTTGTGCTACAACACAGTGTGTTTATAATAAAGACGATACATTAAAATAAAACAGCAGTTTGCAGTATCAAGCAGCAAAATGAGCTGCTTTGTACAGCAAAAAAATAGCTGGAAGCAGATGACACTGGAAGCCAGACACATTACGTTTACAAATGGTCCGCTCTTACTGGAAAAGTAAGGTGGATGGATACTGCCCACACTGTTTGCTTATGCACTTGGTCTTAAATGCATTTTCTGTCTGTTTTTCTGTTGTATGACTTCTAAAGGAAAGCAATGCTCCTTTTCGTAGAGTAAGAGACGAGGAAATTGAGCTGGACCCCCGCCTGACAAACAATTCATTCGATGCAAAGGTAAGACCGTAAACGTGAATGCATATTAGGCCAACATTAACTGTGAAGAGATTGTGCATGTATAGTGACTCTTCTGTTCTTTACTTCCAGATGGGAGCCAACGGTGACTGGGGCCAGAAAGCCAACAACGTGCTTAAATTTACCAAAGGCAAATCTTTCCGGCATGAGAAGACCAAGAAGAAGCGTGGCAGTTATAGCGGCGGTGCAATCTCCACCTCAGTGAACTCCATTAAGTTTGACAGCGACTGAGATTACAAACTAAATGAACCTCTGAACTATATCCGTATCCGTCTTTCGTGTTTGGGGCTATATCAGCTCTAAAAAGCACTGTTTTGAGCCATCTACCCTCTGTTCCTGCACAGCTGACACCGTTCTGCTATGTGTTGGACACTGACTGAAGGCGGCAGGAATAGAGGGCTTGGTGAGGCGTATGGTTGGCTGTAATTTTTTTTACACACTATCTTTCATGCAGTTAGACACCACATGGTGGCGCCAAGTCATTGCGTTTAGGTTTTTTTCATTAGTTTATATGTAAAATATGGTTTTGGCTTTACTGTAAAATGTTTCTTAAAGTTGGCTTGACAAATTATATACGGTTGTCCTAACAGGTAATTTGTTAATATAATAAGAAAATCACTCCATTTCTAGTACGTGTTAATGAAATGTCAATATGGTTGCGTTAACGTTTTATGAGCCTGTGTATCTTGAGCCTGGTGATTTGTCTTATTTGAAGAAGCTGTGTTGTTAATGACTCCGCCCACTTCTGTTTGACGGACACTGGGAGACCACCCTTACAATAACACCTGAATCGTCCTCGTTCGGTTTGTTTTAATGTTACGCAGGATTTTGTAATTTGGTCTCCTTTATGATCAGTCTTATAACTGTAATTAAAAAATGGACTGAAACTCTGAAACCAAAGTTTGTCTGTTTTTGATCAAGTTCTCTCAGAAGAAAAGCTGTGTCTTGATTAATTTGGTATGAGTTTTGCCAAAATGTTTTCTACCAATTAACACATTTAACCTTCATTAATATGGATTGAAAAGTTTTTTATATATATGCTAGGAGTAACAGAGTTGGAAATAACCAGAATCAAAATTAGAGAACAACCTATGATTTCCTAAATTTCAAGGTCACTGCTTAGTCCTATTTGAAGTTATTCTAACAGGAGTAGAAGGGCAGTATTCTGAAGCACAGTATAAAAACTTAAATGAAATGTTTGAAAAAGAACTCTGATCAAAATTAGAGAACACTTACAGACGCCTCCAAGTTATTGGTGTTAATCTGGCACCTGGTACTAATTTTCATTGAGAATGCAAGAGATGGCGGCCCGCTCTAAGGTGACTGAAAGCCTGCGACACTGCAAGAGAAGCTGGTCGTTCCAAATCTGTGATTTCTCGAATATTGAAGGTTTACAATGACACCAATTCAGTCAAGTCCCCCAAAAAGGCTGGTCGTCCATGTAAGACTAATGCAGAGACACTCAATGGAGAATCGGTTCAACACTGCAGCTGGAATTGCTCATCAATTCAGTGCACGTTTAAAGTCGTCGGACTGAAAGCGCACTGCAGTGACCCAAGCCTCTCACAGATGGCACAGTGTTTTGGACACAATTGTCATTTTTGACTATGTATTAGCATATGTACAGCATGTAAGACATGTTCACCTTTTTGTGACCGCTGGAGGGATTTAAGCCTTAATCAAATAAACCCCCCTCATAATATTAAACTACACAGACTTCAGTACTGTGAAATGTTTTAATAGTATCATTTTCTCAGCATCACTCTTATAAAGCCATTCGACAATCAGATTTTCAAAATATTAATGCAGCTTGTAACAAAATGGAAATTGTTTGTCACTAAATATTCGTTACGTATGTAACCCTCGTTCCCAGAAGGAGGGAACGGAGACGTCCCGACGAATTGGGATCTCGCAATTCGTCGGTCACGACACGACTCGTAGTGACCGACTGAAAGGGAACTAAAACTAACCTAACTTTTAAAAAAATAATGAAAATCAGAAATGCTGCCTTGACAAAGTAACTGAAAAAAAAGTTTAGATACTAAAAATAAATAGAATATTCAATAGAAACTGATTAAACAAAATGACAAAAGCACATAAAATGACAAACTAAACTGAAAATAAAACTAAAATTATAGGAGCTAATTCAAAACATGAATACATACTATAATACTATATAATATTCCTGTAGCTTAAACAGTAGAGCATCGAGCTATCAACACTAAAGTCAAGGGTTCATTGCATGAACTGATAAAATGTATACCTTCAATGCAATTTAAGTTGCTTATATAAAAGTGTCTGCCAAATGCACAAGTGCAATATAAATAATACTAAAATAACAATTTGATTTTGTGCCATATATATTTATTCTTTAAGTACTGCCACTATTCTTTTTTCTGTTTTCTTTACATACAGTGGGTACGGAAAGTATTCAGACCCCCTTAAATTTTTCACTCTTTGTTATATTGCAGCCATTTGCTAAAATCATTTTAGTTCATTTTTTTTTCCTCATTAATGTACACACAGCACCCCATATTGACAGAAAAATATATATATATATATGGTTTAATACATACCTCAGGTTTTTAACCATGGTTTTCAGTTCGGCTTGGATTTAAAATGCGCTTTTTAAAACTAATAATAATAAAAAAAAAAAACAAACAACTCCTGTACACTGGAACGTGGATTACCATATTTCTTTTGAGATAAGTATTACTTTTTCCTATTTTTACCCAATATAGGATGGACTGCCCATTATTGAGTGCTATAAACACATGAAATGTCTGCTTCATTCATACTGGACACCAGAGGGTGCCCTCGTGCAGAAACTCCATATATGCACCACAGAAGTAATAGAACTCATGAGGAAATCCCTAATATGGACAAAGCATCCAGCTATCACTGTGACTGATGCGGTGTCCGAAAACCGCTCCCTATCCCCTATATAGTGCACTATTTCGGTGTCGGCCATTTTGTAGTGCTGTCCGAATTCTGAGTGAACGAGTTTATTTCCTACATGAATTCACAAATTTTTACCCACAATCTTCTCTGATTTCGAGTGTACAACTGATGTACACTCACTGAAGCACTACTTCCCATAATCCAATGCGGAGAAACGAAGAGCTGGAAGAGAGTGTGGGAGCAAGCGAGTTTGAAAGAGACAAATATTTCTTATTTCTGCTTTAAAGTTTATTGCATGTATGATTAATATTAAAATATATCACTGCTTTATTCTATTATATATATATATATATATATATATATATATATATGGTTCAATACATTTTCAGTTCGGCTTGGATTTAAAATGCGCTTTTTAAAACTAATAATAATAAAAAAAACTAAACAAACAACTCCTGTACACTTCTGCACACTGAAACGTGGATTACCATATTTCTTTTGAGATAAGTATTACTTTTTCCTATTTTTAGGATGGACTGCCCATTATTGAGCGCTATAAACACATGTAATGTCTGCTTCATTCATACTGGACGCCAGTGGGCGCCCTCGTGCAGAAATTCCATATATGCACCACAGAAGTAATAGAACTCATGAGGAAATCCCTAATATGGACAAAGCATCCAGCTATCACTGTGACTGATGCCGTGCCCGAAAACCGCTCCCTATCCCCTATATAGTGCACTATTTCGGTGTCGGCCATTTTGTAGTGCTGTCCGAATTCTGAGTGAACGAGTTTATTTCCTACATGAATTCACTAATTTTTTTTAGTGAATTTTTGAATTCACAATCTTCTCTGATTTCGAGTGTACAACTGATGTACACTCACTGAAGCACTACTTCCCATAATCCAATGCGGAGAAACGAAGAGCTGGAAGAGAGTGTGGGAGCAAGCGAGTTTGAAAGAGACAAATATTTCTTATTTCTGCTTTAACGTTTATTGCATGTATGATTAATATTAAAATATATTATTTAGACACTCAGTTTAATGTTTTACTAATTGAACGTACAAGAGATAATAGAGATGTGATGATAATTTTGATAAATTGGCTGGTGAGTGAAAAAGTTCATTTCAAACCCTGTATTTATATATACAGTATATATATATATATATATATATATATATATATATATATATACACACACATATA